TGATAAAGCATTAAGTAGGTCCGTATTACAGTATATGTACTAAATTACATTTATTAAATAATCGAGCTTATTAGGATTATTTGCAGAGATATGTTTATGTTGATACAAATGGGTTATTAATACATCTGTAATCTGATCTAGATTAAAAATGAAACACATCAAATATTTAACGAGTGCTATGAGACTTCTCTATTATGTGGCTCTAATTGAGTTAAATTGTCGCATCGATTGATAATATAAAGAGATCTCTGTTATCGTACATTAATGCAAATGGCTTCTTTGCACTGATATAAAAGTGTTGTATTTTGTCTAAATTAATTCTAATAAAATTAGTTTTTAAGATTATTGTTGAAAATATTCACATTTTATAAGTAAAAGTACCAACTTTTCCAGTGAAAATTATTACAGCGCGTGAAAAAATATCTTATCCTAGTTTCTAAACATTGACATAATTTCATGTTTCATTTTTATATTAATATAGATAATCTGTGAGTTTATATTACAGTTTATGAACGTTCTTACTGTATTGGTGAGGGGTATCGTCTTGTACACCTCGACCTAAAATGTACACTGTACACCATTGAAAGTTCTTAATGAGATAGTATGTAATTTACAGTGTTAAATAATTATAATCAAAATGTATAGACGAATGTTATTTTCATCTTACAAAAATCAATATTTGCAGTTGCTATGATAAAAATGTCAATAATTTAAATTAATTTTATATATCTTATTTTAACGTACGAAAAATAAATTATTATTGAAATTGTTTCTATATAATACTCATTTAAAACAGTGTCTTATTTTTAAATATAACTTTTTTAATTATATAAATACATGATTATTGAATAATTTTATCGTGTTTTAATATTGTAATTTCAAGAGCAACATTTAGATTACAGAATTGTATTCATCATAATTAATAATATATTTCATAAACGTCCTCCCAATGCCATTGTACTACACCTGACACTTTAAACTTAACCGCTTTAAATGGGAACTTCCACAATTTATAATAATTATATGGAAGTTATGAACTCATAAATAATGTAACCTAAAAAATAATCCTTCCTGAAGTATTATATAATTACGAATTTAATTTTGGATAATCTACTTTGTTTATTTTTTTATATTTTACGAAATGAAACAAGACTAGTTTCCTTCTGTTCGTCGTTGAAAGAAAATTTATATTAAATAATCTATTATTTGTATACAACCGAGTGCAATTATTGTAATAAATTATACTCGTACATTAAAAGACATTTCCTATTAATAACAATAACCACTTGTTTATCGTTATATAACTAACGATTTCAAATATTTTATAATTTTACAAGAATTTTTGGTTTCTGAACTACTTGTATTGCTTCAAATCTCGATTTTTTAGAGGTTGAATGACGACGATAAAAGGCGGACACGCGATATAAAATTCCCATCATAATCCTACTTATATATTAGTGATATGATTTATAATTATCCTTTTATTACATAATTTTTCTTTCTGTGGTGAATAAATTGATTTGTGTCTATGTAATTTTACTAGTANATCCTTTTTTTTATTTTATTTATTTATATATTTTTAGGTAACTGGATTCGTTTCTTTAATAGGAATAATGTTTAATAAATTCTTTTAAACACGATCTAAACAAGTTTATAACTTATAAAATTTATTTATTTAGGTCTACGTTTATATACAGTAGCTGTTTATAGTACACTTGTTTCGATTAGCTCTTTATAGAACAAGAGAATTAAAAAAGTGTATTTTTTTTTAATCTAAAAATTCAGCGGAAATTGTGTCGTTATATCTCGAAATAATTGACAAAAATTATCAAATACATTTGCATAATTCAATACATTTAACGTATAGGACTAAATATAAGTTTTGAATTAAAGTCGATTTTGTGCTACATAATGGACGACAGCGTGAGAAATTAAAATTCGACTCTCGAATATTTATAAATCAACACGAATAGCTGTAGGACTAATAGTGTTTACGAGAACAAACCATCCAAAAGGTAAAAGGTCGAATCTTACAAAGGAAAAACAAGGAGGAAATTTTCAAGGAAATTGACGTCATTACTTTGTGCTGACCAATTTATTATTGTTTTTTTAAAACATGTATGTGTTTAAATTATATTCGTTATAGCTAAAAGTATTCATTAGAACACGTGATAATAAGTTACGTGATTAATCTGAGGCTAGAGGCAGGAAAATTTTTTTTTTTTTTTAAATTAGATTCTAGTATACGTTCAGAAGAAATTTATGTCGATTTTGTGTAAAATTTTTTATCATTGTATGAAAAAAAAATGAAGTTATATTTTTATTCTCTTTGTCTTCTAACATTACGCATGGTTACTCGGTTATAGCCTACACGAAATCTTACGTGATCAGTTTATTGATATAGATTATATTTATGCTATTAATTACAATTATAAAGGTCAAAAATTGATTTAAAATAATCTTCCATCCATTTTTTTTCTGAAATAAAAAGAAATGTTTTGTAATATTTTATTAGAATAGAAGTTAGTAAACACTTTCAATGAAAAATTAGTCAATAATATTTTTTATTAAAACCTATAAATTGTTTGTTACAGACAAAATTTAAATGATTTGATGATGACTCAGAATATCTACAGTTTTTCCCCCACGAAAATATAACATAATGATAATGATGTAGCAATTTCCATGTAATGATTGACTAAAATATTTGCTGAATCAAAAATATCCCTCGTTGGATATTGTAAGATTTACGAATAAAGTAAAAACACATCCTGTTTGTGTATAATGTAGGAATAAATAAGAATTTTAAAATGATCTTATTGCTCAAATTAATATATCTCTCGAAATTATTTTACTCCTTTAAAGGTTTATTATCTGAACAAAAGCTAAATTATTTCTCCATTATTCGAAAATAAATACTTAATTTTGTATTTTCAATAACTCAGTCTTATATATTTTTAACTTCATTTTTCTATATTCTTAAAATACATTCATAATAAGATTTATTAAATATAACTAAAAACATATATATATATATAAATTAAAAATAAGCTTCTAAAAATTATATCATCTTGCTTATTCTTNGTGACTCTTGATTTAAGGTTTGATGTATATTAATAGGTTTATATGTTTGGTTTTCTTTTAAATTAAAATTTGTCAAAATAAACATTAAAGTGTTTTTTTATGTATTTTATTTTTTTCTTATTTTTCTCACGATAATTTCAATATTTTATGTTTTATTTAATTATCTAAAAATTCTATTAAATAAATTTAAAGATGTGTTTATTAATTTTAAAATTTAAATGTAATATTCTGTTGACATTCTAGAATGATTATACTTAATTCCATTTAAGTTATATGTTTTGCTTGATGATGATAAATTTATTTACCAAAAGTCTCGCTTTTGTTCTCTTTTTGTGTTTTCATTCATTAAAGTAAACTAAACGATAATTGTCTGTTGTTTTATCTATGTGTATTTTATAAAATATAAAATTTTTATATTGTTTAATAATTTTCATTGTAAACATTTGTTTAAAGATATCATATTTACACAGTATATTACTTCTTATTGTGATTTGTTTTTCTATAGTAATTTTAAAAATAAATTTCGGTAAAATTAAAAAGTAAGTTTTAAAAAATTTGGGATAGTTTTCTTCCTGAATTTTAAAAATATTAAGCTCCATTTTTGTAAATTGAAATCTTTAAATAAATCTGAAAAATAAATGGGCAATGAAAATTTTCATTGCCCATTTATTTTTCAATGAAAGCAAATTTTCGTTGGTTACTCTTACTTTGTATTACATTGCTGTGCTGATTATTTATCTTGCTATTTTTCTAACCATTTAAATTCTTCAAAATATTATATTATAAAGATTTAATATACGAAAGTTTATACACCCCAAATCTGTGCGTGATAAGGTAAGATAGAATCAACTTTACGGATTTAGAATAATTGCTATATGCGTGTAAATATTATATAATTGGGCGATTTATATCCCTATCTTATGTATTTTCCCTCCAGTTATGTATTTTTATGTAAATTTGAATTTAATTATATCGTGAGAACAAACACTTTACATATTTCTTTAATACTAGAATAAGAAGAAGAGAGATATTAACGAAGATGTACTGATATTTATATTGAGTATGCGAGCCATTATCATTAATTTTTTTTGTAAAAATAATTAGTCTGAAAGGAAAAGTTCTGCACAAAATATATAATTTGAAATTTTAAATTATTCTTTATTATTATTATTATTAAAAATTCATTTCGTTAATGAAAAATATGGCAAATTACTTTGAAAAATCGTGAGAAAATCGTTAAACTCTTCGTCACAATGACTTTTTGAAATATAAACCAATCTCTAGGCAAAATGTAATGTAAACTATCAATTTTTTTTTGTTATTGTTAAAATTAATTAAAACTAAATAAAAATATTTTCAAACTTTAGTTTTTTTTAAAAAAAACTAAACTATCGAAAGTTAATTTTGCTTCTAAAATTAACTTTCGATGATTTATTATTTGAAAATATTGAACCGTATAAAACATTATATAAATGTTATTTTTAATCGACAATGAACTATTGCGAGCAGGTAATTTAAATAGATTAAGATCAAGCGGTACTAGTTCTCTAGATATTGTTACATTAAGTGTAGACGGTACACGGGTTCAAAGTCCATTTAATATTTGGGAATAAAAAGGACAACGATCTAAAATTAGGTCGCATATTGCTCCAGTAAATTATTTCTTATTGAAAACTTGTTTGATACCATCGCAAACGAAATCATTGGATTGGTATACTATATTTATATCCTTCACTGCCACATTCTAAATTCCATATTGCATGCAACTCGAAGCCGTTTGCACCTAAATGGTTATCTCAAGAAGCTTAAAGAAATACATTATCCAAAGCTATATATATATATATATATATATTTAATGTTTTAATTAGATAGAAACCATAAATTCTAAAGTTAATAGAGCGAAGACTATTACATACCCAATTTTAATCTCGATTATATAATAATTTCAGCTGATTTTTTAAAAATTTCGTCCGTATAAATAGAACATTTTATAGATAAAAAACTGTCAGACTTATTAACAGAACTGTCAAAATTATTATTCTAGTCGATCGAAACAAGTTTTTAATATACTTATTTCAATCTCATGCATGAAATTATATAACAAGTTAATTTTCGTAACCTTTTATCGCGTCCTTGCATTGTTTTCGTAAACAATGCTTCCACGAATTAAAGAAAAAAACAAAAAGAATTCAGAGTTAACGATGCTCGTTCTGACGTGCATAGATTTATATGAACTATTGTTTCTCGATATATTTAGAAGCTATTATTTATAGTATTATAGAAGACACATCAAAAACATGGCTTATCTAAGAAAACACTTAGATCAATACTCGATATTCAAATAGAATTTTAAATTTCTATGAAAAATTTGCAGTTAAAACCATATTATGAAACCTTATCTTTAATTAATACGTATTTTATTTTATTATGACTACTATTTTTGAATATTTATTACGTTTCGAGGTCGCCATAAGATTACAAAACCCACATTGTAGGCTTCATGGAATCAACATACGTAAGATTAGCATTCAGAAGGGGATTTCTTTATGGTTACGTCGGCATTTTCGTGTTGAAAGCATATACAATTTCCTTGTAATAATTTCAAAAAAAGAAAAATATTTACTACATATGAAATGCCAAATCTCAAAAATAGAACGTTAAATCTATTTTGAGAATTCGGCATTTCACGAGGTAAAAATCCCTCGTTTCTCCTCGCGGTTGGGAAATTTTTCCCGTTTAAAATTTAATTGAAAACATCAACGATTTTTGAAGAACAAGAAAAATGTCGTTATTGCATTCCAAGCGATTCCAGATTGAAATTTGAAGGATGTCTATCACGCACAAACAGACAAACAACCTCAAGATCACGATCCAGTTGGCATGCCCCATTTCATGCGTTGCGTTGTTTCGTGTTAAATTTTCATTAATTCTGAGCAAATTTTTGTCTACAATAAAATAAACGTTGAACACGTTCAAATATTTTACTTACTAAATATGAATACGTGTACCATTTTTGTTTATTTATAAATTCATTATTGCAATTTCTTATTTATTCATAAAATAATTAATAAAACTTATTTATATGTGGATTTTTTGCAGTATCATGATGCTATCTGGACTCGCATGGTACATGAATAATAACGACACAATCCATATCAGATAGAATAATGTTAAAGTATTGATTTCCCTCTAATTTTTAATATTAAACTTTTAATTATTAGACTTATTAGATATTTAAAAAAATACTGTATAATACATAAATTAAAATTTCAAGATCTGTCAGTAGTCAATTGCAATGTAATGATTTGACTGTTCGATGACACGGAAGATAACGATTGAGATGCTTGTTATTATTATACACATTAGCCTACAATTATCATGACAGAATATGAGAAATGTCATCTTTTGAAGTGATTTATACTCGCCCGAAGCAAGCTTTTCATTTACAAAATTCGTGAAGTGTAGAAGACATGAAGGTACATTGCGTATACAGTTTGGGCGTAATGTATTCTGTAACGCACTCAACGTAACATAAAGCACTCAAGTTCAGCATATCAATTATGAACTTGAATGAGTTCATCTCCGCAAGATGTAAGAAATAAGAACGAGAAAAATAAATAAAGAAAAATTCGATTTAAGCGAAATCATCTTATAATATTCTATTTGAAGGAGTTTTACTAGTTGTTTTTTTTTAATAGAATTGATATAATACTTTCTTTGTAACTCGGCATATTCTTAGTATTTTATCAGAGTATGATTTACTTAAGTCTAAGAAACACTAACGAGATAACAAGGTCAAAAAATAGGCCTGTAGGAAAAGCATTTCATAACCCTTATCTTATATAAAAGGTAAAGTACTATAAAGTAGAGTTAAGCAAAGAAAGATAAACAAATAAAGGTTGACTAGATTTATAGGTCTTTTTTCTCATTAATATATGTTTTTTTTTTTTTTTTTTCCTAACCAAATAAAGCTTAAAATAATTTTCTCATAAATCTTGACTAATGTAACATCTTTATCGCTGCTTAATCTGATCAATAATAATATCAACACCACATCCTTTTTATTTCTTTTTTTAATTTTTATTATTGCTCAAATCTGATTTCGAAGATGGCAGAACGAAATATCACAAATTATATTTAATTGCAACAATTCTTATTTGTATAAATTTATTTAAATATTTCCGCAAATTTATTTTTTACAAATATTTTGAAAACTGTATTATTGCGATAAAGGCGTATATAACGTCGTTTATTCTTTATACGTGACACTTAATATTATTTTCTTTTTTTTTAGTGTTTACAAACTTGAAAGTGGAAAGGATTTATTTCATAGCTTCTTAACGGTTTATACAGTATATTACTGTATTTATCTGATAGATAAAACGTATGTTTGTATTATTGTAAAATAATAGACAGTAAACTTAACATATATTCAAGATTTTTTACTAATATTCACGTAAATGCTTCTATAGGCCTATATAAAATTATCCTAAATATTGCACCACAATTCATTCTATCGTAAATGACATATCTCTATACGAACAATGCTGATATATTTAGTTATACAATGCATTATCATGATTATCTCGAAAATTATTTAAGGATGAATAAATCGAAACTTATTTATGTATATCGATATTTGTGTTGTTACTATGCCAAATATTTTTATAAAGATCATTCTATAATCAGTTCGTTTTGATTAGTAAATTATTTCAAAATATTTCTCTTTTTTTTTCACTTGGGTTATTCATTATTTAAAAGTTTTAATACTGAGCTTAATTCTCGAACGATGAAAATTAAGCTCGAATGTCAACGAGTACTAATCTCTTAGAGACCAATTGTACTCGTCGATTTTTAAAACAGTCAATGATTGTACTTATTATTATTTTTTTTTTTTGTACCAAAACATATAAATAAATTAGGAAAAGTTGCAAATTTATCATCTCTGTGTTAGACGTGATAGGTTAAGGCAATAGCATAAAACTTGAACTGTTCAGGCACCAGAAAATAAAAAAAGAAAGGATAGTCGGACACCCGAACTTAGGTATGTGAACCAGATGCAAGCTACAAGTCGGAATGTTTGGTGCCCTTTGCACTCCCACGCTAGGTGACACTTCCCTGAGAGTGCTGTGGTAAAATTCATCACAACTGGGTGTAAAGATGTGTGTGATAGAGATCAGGGTTCATTGAAGTATGAGGTTGTACAGGTGGATGACCTCGAACAGTCTGTTGTATTTCTCTAATCGCTTCGCGTAACTCTTCACGTACCGCATTTACAACTTCTCTTTTAATCACTTCTATTTCGTTAATGGATAAGTGATTCGTTTCGACTACATCTTGGTATCCGGGAGGATTGAGATGAGATGATCTAAACGATCTCAAGATGTCCGATTTAATATTGTTAAGTTGTCCCGTATTTCTAATGGTCTCCTTCTTTCTATCTTCTCGCAACTCGTACCTACAAACGAAAAAAAAAAAGAAAAAAAACCATAAACGGAACATTTAGACTCCACCCAACATGAGGAAGTAAATTTAAAACGCTTCAAGAATGATAATCATAATATTTTTTTGAATTAAATATTCTCTTAATATTATTCATAACTTTATCAAAATTTTCCTTGGTTCGTTATTCTTTACCAGGCCGACTAGTTACTAAAATAGTTTTAAAATATTTATAATAGTATAAATTAAAACAAAGACATGCTTATAAGCTTTTTTTATTATTATTACTATTTAAATGATCCAGGGTATTGAACTTCGTTAATAATAATAATATAAAAATGATACTGGAGAAATCGTTTTCTCTTAATTGCCTGAAATTCAAACTAAACGATTTTCTTTCGGAAAGAAACGCCTCAATTATCCATGAATACGATTCACTTTAATAATGAAAGATAGCGAGATCGTATTCAAGTTCTCATTTTAATGATCGAAATCGCTAAGTGGGCTTTATATTTCACTATAAAATTATATAATCATTACTTCGAATTTGTATTTCAACGAAACGTTCGTTTTACTTCAAAAAGAAATCAGATCGAAAAGTGCATTAGCTTCAATGGACTATGATCTCCCCCTCTTTTTTCCTACTTATTACAGATAATATATCATATACCTGAGACTGGATATGTCCTGCTTTATTTCTAAAAGGTCGTCTTCGTTCACTCCATCCTGTCTAAGTTGTTTCTTGGTGTGATGAATATATCGATTCACCAATCTCTTCATTATCTCCTGAAATATGACCATAATAAATGTACATATTTCATGTAAGTTTAATCGCCAATAAATTCTAATAAAATGTTATGTCTATACTGCGTACCGCTATATTATTTAAATGCCTTAAATGGTACAATTATTATTAAATATCTTCGAATTTTTTAAAATATTAATTAAGCTCTTAATAATAATTTTATTAAATTAAAAGTTTTTATGCAGAAATGCCACTGGTTATATAAGTTCTTAGTAGAAAAAAATACTTTAAAATGAGAACAATGTACTATCAAATGTTATTTTAATCTGTCAATCGAATATCATGTATTATTTTTGTAAACAGAAACTATCTATAACGATCTCTTAAAAAACATTTCAAATTCTTGTCGCATAATTTAATAATTGTACGTTTTATTTTAAAATAGTATTGCTTCTGTACGTGCTATTAAACGTTATCAGATTACTGATGAATGGTTATTTAAGAAATATGCATCTAAATTACATTAATTATAATTTAATTAAGTGTTTTAAAAGGAAAACTGTGCACGAATATTATATAATTTATTTTTAAAAAAGTCTATAAAATATCTAAGAGATAAATTTCTGAAGAGATACGCTTGAATCTAATGTTCAAAGTTCTAATCCTAATTCAAGGGTCGAGTCATATTTACGTCTCTTATCAAAACTTGGTTTTATAAACCGACTGTAAAATTCCGTTGTAAAGTAATGAAAAATTCAGATGACGATTATCTACGAGATATTTAATATCATTGTCATAAACGTTTATGCAATAATCTCAACAGAAAAGTAAAACGTTCCCTCCTGACGGATATTGTAGCATTTGGTTTTGACAGATGATGATCTAAAAAACTAACATCTGTCATACAGAATGGAGAATTATTGCTCATATCAGTCGATAAGAAAGACAGTCTAAACGAACAGTCGACAAGCAGAAAATAATAAAAATAAAAATTCAGAATGCATTACTGTTATTATGTACAGTACATTCTGTACACTTATAAAATAATCGAAAACCAATATTCATATCTATATTTGGATAAAGTTTATCAAATCAATCTTTATCTGTTAGATAAACTAATTATATAAGCTAAAAGTAAGGGATAAAATATCTAATTTTAAAAAATAAATAAATAAATAACTTGCTATAAAGCAATTTTTGCGCATTGTTAATTACATTTTATGACATTTGAATTAGACTTTATGAATAAACGTGAATAAAACAACTGGAAAAGTATTAATTAACGGCGGTCCATTATCATCATAGTCGTTACGTCCTTTTTTTAACGTCAAATTATTAAATAAATGGCTTGACAACCACATTCTTGTAACTGCAATTGTTTCGCTACTAACGTTAATGGTACTTAATGTCATTACGAGTCTTTCGAACATTACATCACCAGATTCTTAGGCTATTAAACAAGTATAATACTTTCTATTAGAGGCTGTTAGAGTAAATATCGTTTCGAATACTTTGTAAGAAATGCAACTGAAACAAAAACAATTTTAATTATATATATCTTATATAATGTTTTTGAAGTGAATTAGACAATCCAAACAATGTTCTGGCAAGTGGCCGAATGTACCTTATCAAAATTCTGTAGTAACTTCGTAAAAGTGACCTTCAAACCTATTTTCTAGTAACAGAATATATAACGAAAATTCGTATTTTCCACGACGCGATAACTATTAATACAGATGTATTCTTTCCTTCCAGATAAAGTGCATTCAGTTTCTATGAAATCTAGCGAGTTATCACATAAAATCGATAAGATAAAAAGCATAAAACTAAAATAAACTCAATTATCAAGAGAATAATGGCGCGATGATCTAAAACTCCTTAAAACTCAAACGTTTAATTCTAATTATATAAAAATCTCTTTGCAATTTATATATATTATATAAAAATCTTAATGATGCATTTTAAGAATATATTTTATGTCGAAGTTACATAACGAAATCGTTATAGTGGAGAAGACTAACTCGGGGGACGTCGTTATAGCATTATATAACGTTACATGAGACTGAAAACAAACAAGTCTGTTAGATAAGACGTGGGAAATAAGTAAGATAGGTACATGTAATAAAATAAGTGCATTCTCATGCGTTACATCATGTTTTCATTCAATTGACCATGACAAAAATATTTGTAAATTATAAAGAAGTTTAACTCGGAAAAAAATAAATAAAAATAGATCCAATTTCATCTTATACAAACAAGAAATCTGTTTTGAAAAACTATATACTTTCAAGAGCAAATATTTATTTTGTGGTCGTTAATTTTTGAACTTTCTAGTGTTTATAACCTGTTCAAAATAAATTGTTTAACAGTATTTTTATACAATTTATACATTTCTATCAAATTTAATTAATAAGAAATTGTTTATATTTAATTTTAACCACTCGCTTAAGCCATTTCGAACACTTCAAATCTCACTTCTCCAATTGAAATGAATGTAAGAACATCTCAAGAAAACTATCAATTATTTTCATCCCTTAAATACTTCTATATATATATATATAATCTTATCAATGTAACATTATTTGTACAGCGGACATACAAATTCACGGACTAAATAAAGTATAGAGGCTAAACTCAGCTTTAAAAAAAAAAAAAGTACTGTATGTAACTAACGGAAACACGTACGGTATAGGTACAGAATACAATATTCTGTTGGCATGTCAAATGATTTATATAAGGACAGGTGAGGGATATTGCGTAAATGTATTAAGGGTCGACTGCGTCATCTAAAATATAATGTACTTGGCTTAAAATCAACAATATACTTGAAATATTTTATTAAATTATATAATACGATCCGACGGCAGTTCCGAATTTATAAAATATGCGGAACAGGTAACAAGTTGTGTTTATTATTAAATCGATACTATCGAACTAAAAATGCGGCACGCTCGTTACTCGAAAACTTGTATTTCTTATCTATTTTTTTCCTTCTTTGACGTCATTACGCGGTTAAACCGGTTTAACAAATAAGTATAAAACATGCTAAAAATAATAATTAATTGCAATGGATATATTAGAAAAATAATCTGCATAATAAAGAAAAATAATAATAATAAATCAAGTTAATTTTTAGTGTTGAGAATGAATAAATTTAATCACTTTTCGAATTTTTAATAAGTAATTTTAATCTCACCTGATAATTACTACCAATTGAGCTCTTTTTTCTCGTATCGTGTTTTTCATTTTGCTTATTCTATATGTAAAAATGCAAAACGGAAAATTAATATATTGAATAAATTATAACATATATAAATAAATAAAAAAGTTTGCGTGTCCGTTCAACAGATGGCGACACTTCACGTTGTAATTAAAATATATATATTTTTTAATATTATTTTAATGTTTTCAAAATTATTATTCAAATTGCTTCTTTGATAAAATTTAATTCTTGATAATTACAATTTAATAATGTAGAAAAGATAAGTATAATTATTACAATTGTTTATGTACTGTGTATGTTTTAACAAGCGATTTTAATATATGTAATTACATTAAAAATATACATCGATATTAAAAAGTGTATAAATGATTGACCAATACGGAGCTGAAAAATCTAAATAAATATATATTTTTTTTTACATATAAAAGTTATAAATTACTGTATAGCGTTCGGTAAGATATAATAAATGATAATCAATAGGATGTCAAGTTAATGTCAAAATCGATGTAATAGGAAAGAGGATAGAAATAATTACATAAAATGCATTTAGTTCTTTCTCTTATTATTAGAACTTACTTTGACATCAGATATATTTCCTACGTAGTTGACATATTTGTTTTCAGGCTGAAAGGGAAAATTGATTTATGTCGGATGTTGTAGGATAATAAGAATAGATTGAAACATACCTTGACAGAATGACTATCGTAGGGAGAAGACTGACAAAAATGATCGAAGAGTCTAGCCCCGAACTTTTGAACACCTCGAAGTAAATAATATATAGATTTAGGGCTAATGATAAGATTTAGAGGAGGAGGAAGCGTGGATCCTTCATCAAAATAACCCATCCACAATTTGGAACGTGCAAATTTCCATTCGCGATCGGCATGGTCCTATATAAAAAAAAAAAACAGTTTAAATTAACATTATAATTGTCTTATATTTGATAAAAATGAGAATCAATTTCCAAATATTAATTATTTTATACCAATAAAAGATGGCCTAGCATTACCATATACCTTTTCTGTAGAGGTAATGCAAAATAGTTCCGATTTTACACGCATACGGGCCCTAGACAACCTGGCGAACTCGAGCCCTTTTTTTCAGAAAGTTTTAATAGTAATAAAAATTAATTGTGTAGTTAATTTTGGGCTTCGTTTCCTAGGCATAAAAATATCACTAATGTAGCTACTAATCTACAGCCTAAATAATATGTATTATAAAAAAGTTTGATAAATTGCAATAATCGAAAAAAAACAATAACTGTGTTGTTTGGAAATGCGATTATCTTATTATATAATATTGACTAGCTTATAAACAATATTGACACAATTGTCATTTTTCACTTAACAAAACGAAATTATCGTAATGCCTTTAGGAAAGGTCACTGGTAATATTTCATCCATAAATTCTAACAATATCCTTAAATATAAAATTATTTCTATTAAATTGCTCAATAAATTATTATGTAAAGAGCATAATAGCTTGAATTATTTATTTATTTTAAATACATATAAAATTAAGTAAATATTTAATTTACCTACAATTTTATTATTATTATTATTATTTAATTTATGAGTATTTTTAATACTTTATGTTTTGGTATTTTTTAAAGAAATAGAGAATAGCCTTAAAGCTTGTCGTGTTTACTAAATAANTCCATGATTTATACTCACCGGGATTTATTTGCGGTTTACATGCAATTATAATACATAATCTCGTGGTTTAAGTATACTTTACACATTATTCTACATTTGTGTATGATGTATTTAATTTATTCAACAGGCTTTGCCGCAATTGTTAGCGCCTAAATGGTATTTTTCTTACCATTTCGAAATAAATAAATCGCGGCTGTCACGCGATTTAATGCGTAAAAAATGGAAGATAAAAAAACAATTCCGTACTTGTTTTTGTTCGTATTTGAGCGCCAACTTCAAGCGAGACAAAGTCAACTTTTCATTTCCTTCGTCATCACTTTCCGAATCGGAATCCGAACTTTTATTCAATAAAGTAATCACTTCTTCAGTACTTCTACACAAATCGAGAAGATCGCAAGAATACTTTTTGCACTGATTACTTAATTCCAAATAAATATCCTTGAATTCGTTCTCTTTGTGTGCTAAATGCTCCAATTCCCAAGAAAGCTAAATGAAATTTAATTAAAAAAACATATATTTTCATTCCAAACCAGAGGAGAATGTTATAAATTTTTTTGTGTTGTGTCTAGTAGATCTTTTACAATTTATTATTTAATATATATATTATTTAACCAACGACGTTTCTTTTACGTTTTTTTATTACTTTAAACAGACTTTCTGACGACGTCATTTTTCTTTACAACTTTAAATACAAGTTTCTTTTATTAATTAAGAAATATCTATTGTTAATACATGTTATGTAATACAAATCATTATAGAAATAGTAGATGAAGCTTTTTTAAAAGTAAACAATAAATATTCTTTATTCGGTTGAGTAGAATAATTAATTATCTTACATAAAAGAATTCGTGAGGAAAATTTAACACATTATAAACAATGTATGAATGTTCTAATATTCAATATAACTAAGTGGCGCCATCTGTTATCGATTTATGTTACCATATTGTATATTTTTAAAATTGCCATTAAAATTTTATTTCTAGTAAAAATTTATTAATATTTAATAATAATTATATATTTGTATTTGCTATTCTATACATATAAGACAATAAACTGAATTTTTTAATACCATAAATACCTCTATATCTTGAAAAGATCTACTCATCATGGCAATAAGCATGTTTATCATCACGGTCATTGCCATTATCATATAAGCACCGAGAAGAGCATGGCCCACCCACTTGATGAATGCTTGATCACGACGATAACTCAATTCTTTGATAGGAATAACTCCAAATAGAGACCACAAAAGAGCTGTATAACTGGAATCGATGCTGAAAGATACGATTGAATTTTTAAATTTGAATGGCTTAATTTAAAAACAAATCTAACAATAATGTCTTTACTTACGTCATAAAGGCATCGGAGCTATTTTGGCAATTATAGGTGACGTTTTCACCGTTGATAAGTTTTGTTTGGCAAATTTCCATACTGGCATCGTAATACCAATACAACTGATTTAATCCACACGCAAATGAAGTGAGAATGAGAAAGAATATGAAGAGAAATTTTGCAATGTCGATGATCATGCAACCGAGTGATATTTGTAGAGGACCAAGGTGAGGATTTGTTTGAAATAAATAAATAATACGCGCAAAACTGAAGACATTGGCAACGGCAAAAACGCCTTCCGCTATCAATGTAGGATCGTTATTTGGCCACCTGGGTCTCTCTAAAACGCGAGGACCATATTTTTCGCTATGAATCTGGAAAAATGCTACGGCTTTCAAAGAAAACGTGGCTAAGTATAAGGAGAGCATTATAAAATCTAACCAGTTCCACCACTGTCGAACGTAAGCCTTCAAACCTTCTTCCCAAAGTTGTTTACATTCTGCCCAAACCATGCCTGTATAAAATATATAACCTACATTGTATTACCTTTTTACAATTGTTAGTGTTTATTCTGTTTTGAATAAACAAAACAAACTGTCAGAAAACTATGGCTTACCTGTAACCCAAAAGAAGATGAGCCATTCGACTAAGGACGGGAATGGACCGCGAATATTTTGTCTCGTTCTTTCACTACCTTCAGTTCTAGTCGATGCCAGCACCAGCAATAATAAAAAAAATCCAAAGGAGGCACTAAAAACATGTATGTGAAAGCTTATTATATATTTGTCAACCGTACACAAATCTTAAAAACGTATAAAATTTTCATTATTAAAACAATAAATATCATTTAGCATCGATACGTATCGTAAAGTAAGACTTAATTAACATTGAAAACTCACGCATGGCCAATTCCAACTCTATTTAATACCCCAGCAGATATTAATTAAACCAACATCTCGAACAGTTTAACACGTTAATTACTAATTTAATGTAATCACAATTTTCGAAAATATTCGATTAACACTTTCCACCGAAATTAGTGTGCAAATCTATTAGTTTAATTAATTTCACTCTTCTAAATATTCACCTGTGATATATAAACTTCATAAATGGCGACCGAACCAATCTACCTAGTCTTGAGCGCGGGAAAAACAGATAATAAAAAGCTATCAAAGGAACACAAGCGATGAGGACGAAGCAGAGAAACATCTTCATGGCACCATTTCGTCTTCTCCATACTGGAAGTCCTTTATACCAAATGGAAGTCAATAGCTGTTGGCAATTTGGATGAGCTACAAACTGAAAAACAAATAAATAAATAATTCATCACCAACAACTCCATCATTGATATTTTATTAGCTATCGCCGTCCTGATGCGTGTTTAGTTGGTATTTTTTCCATGATTTATACTCACCGGGATTTATTTGCGGTTTACATGCAATTATAATACATAATCTCGTGGTTTAAGTATACTTTACACATTATTCTACATTTGTGTATGTTGTATTTAATTTATTCAACAGGCTTTGCCGCAATTGTTAGCGCCTAAATGGTATTTTTCTTACCATTTCGAAATAAATAAATCGCGGCTGTCACGCGATTTAATGCGTAAAAAATGGAAGATAAAAAAACAATTCCGTACTTGTTTTTGTTCGTATTTGAGCGCCAACTTCAAGCGAGACAAAGTCAACTTTTCATTTCCTTCGTCATCACTTTCCGAATCGGAATCCGAACTTTTATTCAATAAAGTAATCACTTCTTCAGTACTTCTACACAAATCGAGAAGATCGCAAGAATACTTTTTGCACTGATTACTTAATTCCAAATAAATATCCTTGAATTCGTTCTCTTTGTGTGCTAAATGCTCCAATTCCCAAGAAAGCTAAATGAAATTTAATTAAAAAAACATATATATATTTCAATAAGTTTTTCCAAAGATCAAAGCAAATATTTTAATATATAATCAACAGATGGCGCCACACAACCGAGATCTGAAACTTCGCTTACTTTTTTTTATTTTAATTAATTGGTAAATAAATTTAATACGCGATTATTAAATATTTACCGTCATTTCATATTTTTTGTTCGTTAACATTTGTCACGAAAGCAAATTAACAGCGATTTTATATAAAAAAATAAAACAAACGTCTATATAAACAATTTTATTCATTCAATTTACGAAAAATTCAATTTTATAATTATCGTGGGTGGCGCCATCTTGTAAGAATTTTTACTTCTGTTAAATTTGAAATTTATTCATTTCTTAAATCAACCACATTTAAATCAGCATATTTAAATAGTATATTAGATTTGTTTAATTTAAATAATAATAATAATAATAATGCATACGTGACATTTATGTAAAAATAATACACGCCGCCATTTTTGTTTTCCAAACCTCAACACTTACGTCACTGTAATTTAATTTTTCAAATGTTAAGANTATCAAGTTTTTGATACTCGTAAACTTTTAGGCGTGTTATACTTTTATATTCTGAAAGTCAACAAAACTATTACAGAATACAAAAGTATACATAATATAATTTGACTTATTGCCAAATTTGGATTACTATGAAATATACGCTGTAACTAATTTATAATCACAGATAATTAGAGAATTAACACGTGTATATGCCATCGATTTAATGGTAAAGAATCGCTTAATGTGGCATTTACTTTTATAGACGGCAATAAACATACAGTATATTGCTATTGTTATCTTTCTCCAATAGAAACTTGAGGCACATCCTCATAAAATATGAACTCAAACCTTATTATAGAACACGTTTGACTTTACACAAAATATGTAAAAATATTCAATATCGAAAACATTTTTTTCATATTTTTTTAGATATAGCAATTCAATAGAAACATTTCCTTTGAAAAGAATAAATTATCCGTTTCTTCATAGAATTCGACGTTTTGTTATAACAACTTTTTACAGATAAAAAAAAGTTTCTTGAACTAAATAAAATTCTAAATATGCTTTCTTGTATAAATAGGTATAACCTTTAGGAAAAGGTCATATATAAAAATCTTTGACACATCTTCAATACAGTATTATCGATGCTAACAATGTTATCGAATGTAGAAGGTGAAGGAATAAATTGAATATCAACTTCCATTGATTCTAAGCCCATAGCGGCGATATCACTTATCTAACTTACAAGAATTTTAATCACTTAGAAAATAAAAACAGCAATGAAGTCTTTTTTACTGTTTAGGATTCCACAAAGAGAAAACTCAGGCATGAGAATTAATTACGTGTTAATAATGTGATAACACTAGTCAACACATTATCAGTGTATACAACTTAGCTGGATATAATAAATTCCTTCATTATTTTTTCAGTTGATTGAAGATTGTGTAATTTGTGAAGTTGTTTACGAAAACATATTCCAATGTATTATTTAGACTTCGCGGTTCTTCGATGGTTTTTTTTAAATACTGTAATTTATTATTATTATACAAATAGAAAAACATTAAGAAATTTCGATAATTAATACTTCTAATATAACTCTTTTTAGAAATTCGAATTATTAAAAAAAACTGTGTTATTAATATGTTAAATTTATGGTTAAAATTACAAATTGCCATAAGTTTAAGGTATATTTTATTCTGGCATGTTTTAACTTATAATGTATACTCCATAAAAAGTTGCCATGTTATCAGTTATTATTTAGTTATTTTATTTAACAAAGTATTAAATAAAATAATTATGTTGCTGTAAAGAAAGTTTTCTTTGCTGTTAAAGAAAAAAAAACTGAAAAGTTTCACTTTCTAAACGAAATATAAAACACAAATAATTCACTTTTATCGAAGTCACTTCCTTCCTTATAATAAATGCCACCTTTAAGACAGTTTAAAAATAGGTGTAGATAAAAGAAATCAGTGACGTTTCTACCTTTAACTTAAAAATAATCTTTTGTGCCAACTGGATCAATACGCTAACAATAAGCAGCTTAAATTTAAGTATGTGTTAATGCTATTGTATTTTTTCTCATTGTTATTCCAATAGCATTTATTAGTGAATGAAACGTGTAATAACATTTTTAATTTTCGGACAATTTTCCTGACTTTTTACTTACCTTAAACGCTGTAAGAATAGGATCTTCGCTAGTCAAAGACATCCAGGCAGGGCTTGCTAGGGCACGATAGGTATGGATCCTAAAGAGTGAATGGCGCAAACTGTCGGTATGCATTCCCTCGTGACATTTTTGACAAACGCAGGAGAGTTGATGAGGTTTTTCTATAACGGCGCCACGCGATAACAACAATTGTAGGATCTCGAACTGGTTACAATGAGCTGCTAGGATGACAGGTGATATGTCTGGTGAATAATCCGAACTTTCTTCACCCGGTGTTTTCGATTTTGACCAATCATTAGATAGCATGTCGCAGGTGATGCTATGATGATTGATCAACATTTCTACTATTTTGTAAACGCCTTCTCTGATAGCGTAGAGAAGAGCATCTCCGATTTTAACGTTCTCCTTCAATAGAATTTCTACTATTTCTACATTTTCGTTATCAACTGCTATTTGTATGGCACTTCTGCCAATAATATCGGTACAGTTGACATTAACGGGATTGGGAGGCTGAAGACATCTGATCATAGTCGGTTTGTCACCTCTTTCTGCTGCTTCCAAGAATAATTTCTCTTTAGGATCGATGTTGTGCCCATCTTTCAAGGGTTCCAGAGGAATTGGTATTCTGTACTGATGACCTGTTTATTTTAATATAGTATTTTAAATTAATTTGAAGGTGTTAGAGCTGAACAGACCTATGCCTCAATTATCAAGTTTTTGATACTCGTAAACTTTTAGGCGTGTTATACTTTTATATTCTGAAAGTCAACAAAACTATTACAGAATACAAAAGTATACATAATATAATTTACTTATACATGTATATTAACATAAATTATTACAAATAATAATAAAATACATCGAGCCATAAATTTACTTTCTAAAAACGTTGGCATAAGTCTATTGTAATAAATAAAATATATTCAAACCCATTAACATAACTTACAGATATATTTAACAAAAATAAAGCTACATAAACAGTTAATAGGTTAAACTAGAAAAGTTCGCTTTCTAAAAGATAGTTAGAAAAGCTTTCTGAAAAATAGGCAAAGTAGAAAATAAATAAAATAACAGTTAAATTCCATGTAATATAATCATGCATCTATAAAATGAACTGTTAAAATAAACATTAAATCAATCTTCGATAAGTTAAAATCGGATAACAGCTTCGAGTTTATTTAATCTTACCTTTCATGTTTGATTTTTCACTGAAGTTCATGTACAGAGCTATTTGTGGAAGAAAATGTCTTTCTCTAATCCCTCGAACGTCTCTCTTCTTTCCAGATAATCATAATCGATCAGTTTTTTTGGGCAAAAGTTGAAATCGGACGGATTTAGAAAATAGTTTGATCCAATCTAAAAATAAAAAGTTTTTAATTATATTAAACTGGGAAGATTAAATTTTAAAAATAATTAATTGTATTTACTGTTAGAATGTAGTTTGCCTTAAAAAAAATACCTAAATATATCCTATTATTTACTATAAAAATATTGACTGAAATAAACTAAAAAAAGAGTACTTTTTTATAGCCTCAAAGTCTATTATAATACTAATAATTATATCTATCTTTTCTAAATAATTTGATTTTAATTTGAATTTTCATTATTATTACAGCAATGAATCAACACAGTCTCTAATCCATAATAGCAAAGGTCAACGTTGTTGCTGAAAAGCATATACTGAAGAAAAAGTCGTTCTGTGACATTTCGCTTCAACATTTTTCGAGTTATTGCCGTAAAGTGATATTACAAAGACAAAATATGACTTTTTTATTTTCACTTATCCGAAAAGAAACACCACCGTTATTATTATAAAGCGCTTCATAACTAGACAATAATAATAGGATTGATCGGAAGGAAACCATATATTGTTTATCATTATCATAAAATTCATTTAATGTAGTTAAAAATAAGACGACTTTTTCGACCTCTACCAGGCAAAAATGTGTTTTAAAACTTAATTTAATTAAGCAGTTGCGGTGTTTTAAATTAGTAGGAAGATAACCATCATCCACTTTATCGAAACAAATCCCCTTTAATGGATATATACGGTGTAAATGCTCTATAAATAGATATTAGAAAACAGAATCAATAACGCAAAGATGGTGGCCAGTGTAAATTTTCCAAATAACAAGATTGTCGTTTCGGATAAGGTAACCATAGTAACAGACAGGTTCAGCAACATCAAGGTGGAGAAGCATGCAAGAGTAATAACACCGGCTGATATTTTTAACATTAAAAAATAAATAAATAAATAACTTGCTATAAAGCAATTTTTGCGCATTGTTAATTACATTTTATGACATTTGAATTAGACTTTATGAATAAACGTGAATAAAACAACTGGAAAAGTATTAATTAACGGCGGTCCATTATCATCATGGTCGTTACGTCCTTTTTTTAACGTCAAATTATTAAATAAATGGCTTGACAACCACATTCTTGTAACTGCAATTGTTTCGCTACTAACGTTAATGGTACTTAATGTCATTACGAGTCTTTCGAACATTACATCACCAGATTCTTAGGCTATTAAACAAGTATAATACTTTCTATTAGAGGCTGTTAGAGTAAATATCGTTTCGAATACTTTGTAAGAAATGCAACTGAAACAAAAACAATTTTAATTATATATATCTTATATAATGTTTTTGAAGTGAATTAGACAATCCAAACAATGTTCTGGCAAGTGGCCGAATGTACCTTATCAAAATTCTGTAGTAACTTCGTAAAAGTGACCTTCAAACCTATTTTCTAGTAACAGAATATATAACGAAAATTCGTATTTTCCACGACGCGATAACTATTAATACAGATGTATTCTTTCCTTCCAGATAAAGTGCATTCAGTTTCTATGAAATCTAGCGAGTTATCACATAAAATCGATAAGATAAAAAGCATAAAACTAAAATAAACTCAATTATCAAGAGAATAATGGCGCGATGATCTAAAACTCCTTAAAACTCAAACGTTTAATTCTAATTATATAAAAATCTCTTTGCAATTTATATATATTATATAAAAATCTTAATGATGCATTTTAAGAATATATTTTATGTCGAAGTTACATAACGAAATCGTTATAGTGGAGAAGACTAACTCGGGGGACGTCGTTATAGCATTATATAACGTTACATGAGACTGAAAACAAACAAGTCTGTTAGATAAGACGTGGGAAATAAGTAAGATAGGTACATGTAATAAAATAAGTGCATTCTCATGCGTTACATCATGTTTTCATTCAATTGACCATGACAAAAATATTTGTAAATTATAAAGAAGTTTAACTCGGAAAAAAATAAATAAAAATAGATCCAATTTCATCTTATACAAACAAGAAATCTGTTTTGAAAAACTATATACTTTCAAGAGCAAATATTTATTTTGTGGTCGTTAATTTTTGAACTTTCTAGTGTTTATAACCTGTTCAAAATAAATTGTTTAACAGTATTTTTATACAATTTATACATTTCTATCAAATTTAATTAATAAGAAATTGTTTATATTTAATTTTAACCACTCGCTTAAGCCATTTCGAACACTTCAAATCTCACTTCTCCAATTGAAATGAATGTAAGAACATCTCAAGAAAACTATCAATTATTTTCATCCCTTAAATACTTCTATATATATATATATAATCTTATCAATGTAACATTATTTGTACAGCGGACATACAAATTCACGGACTAAATAAAGTATAGAGGCTAAACTCAGCTTTAAAAAAAAAAAAAGTACTGTATGTAACTAACGGAAACACGTACGGTATAGGTACAGAATACAATATTCTGTTGGCATGTCAAATGATTTATATAAGGACAGGTGAGGGATATTGCGTAAATGTATTAAGGGTCGACTGCGTCATCTAAAATATAATGTACTTGGCTTAAAATCAACAATATACTTGAAATATTTTATTAAATTATATAATACGATCCGACGGCAGTTCCGAATTTATAAAATATGCGGAACAGGTAACAAGTTGTGTTTATTATTAAATCGATACTATCGAACTAAAAATGCGGCACGCTCGTTACTCGAAAACTTGTATTTCTTATCTATTTTTTTCCTTCTTTGACGTCATTACGCGGTTAAACCGGTTTAACAAATAAGTATAAAACATGCTAAAAATAATAATTAATTGCAATGGATATATTAGAAAAATAATCTGCATAATAAAGAAAAATAATAATAATAAATCAAGTTAATTTTTAGTGTTGAGAATGAATAAATTTAATCACTTTTCGAATTTTTAATAAGTAATTTTAATCTCACCTGATAATTACTACCAATTGAGCTCTTTTTTCTCGTATCGTGTTTTTCATTTTGCTTATTCTATATGTAAAAATGCAAAACGGAAAATTAATATATTGAATAAATTATAACATATATAAATAAATAAAAAAGTTTGCGTGTCCGTTCAACAGATGGCGACACTTCACGTTGTAATTAAAATATATATATTTTTTAATATTATTTTAATGTTTTCAAAATTATTATTCAAATTGCTTCTTTGATAAAATTTAATTCTTGATAATTACAATTTAATAATGTAGAAAAGATAAGTATAATTATTACAATTGTTTATGTACTGTGTATGTTTTAACAAGCGATTTTAATATATGTAATTACATTAAAAATATACATCGATATTAAAAAGTGTATAAATGATTGACCAATACGGAGCTGAAAAATCTAAATAAATATATATTTTTTTTTACATATAAAAGTTATAAATTACTGTATAGCGTTCGGTAAGATATAATAAATGATAATCAATAGGATGTCAAGTTAATGTCAAAATCGATGTAATAGGAAAGAGGATAGAAATAATTACATAAAATGCATTTAGTTCTTTCTCTTATTATTAGAACTTACTTTGACATCAGATATATTTCCTACGTAGTTGACATATTTGTTTTCAGGCTGAAAGGGAAAATTGATTTATGTCGGATGTTGTAGGATAATAAGAATAGATTGAAACATACCTTGACAGAATGACTATCGTAGGGAGAAGACTGACAAAAATGATCGAAGAGTCTAGCCCCGAACTTTTGAACACCTCGAAGTAAATAATATATAGATTTAGGGCTAATGATAAGATTTAGAGGAGGAGGAAGCGTGGATCCTTCATCAAAATAACCCATCCACAATTTGGAACGTGCAAATTTCCATTCGCGATCGGCATGGTCCTATATAAAAAAAAAAAACAGTTTAAATTAACATTATAATTGTCTTGTATTTGATAAAAATGAGAATCAATTTCCAAATATTAATTATTTTATACCAATAAAAGATGGCCTAGCATTACCATATACCTTTTCTGTAGAGGTAATGCAAAATAGTTCCGATTTTACACGCATACGGGCCCTAGACAACCTGGCGAACTCGAGCCCTTTTTTTCAGAAAGTTTTAATAGTAATAAAAATTAATTGTGTAGTTAATTTTGGGCTTCGTTTCCTAGGCATAAAAATATCACTAATGTAGCTACTAATCTACAGCCTAAATAATATGTATTATAAAAAAGTTTGATAGATCGATAATAATTTAATTAAAGAAATAAAACAAATTGCAATAATCGAAAAAAACAATAACTGTGTTGTTTGGAAATGCGATTATCTTATTATATAATATTGACTAGCTTATAAACAATATTGACACAATTGTCATTTTTCACTTAACAAAACGAAATTATCGTAATGCCTTTAGGAAAGGTCACTGGTAATATTTCATCCATAAATTCTAACAATATCCTTAAATATAAAATTATTTCTATTAAATTGCTCAATAAATTATTATGTAAAGAACATAATAGCTTGAATTATTTATTTATTTTAAATACATATAAAATTAAGTAAATATTTAATTTACCTACAATTTTATTATTATTATTATTATTTAATTTATGAGTATTTTTAATACTTTATGTTTTGGTATTTTTTAAAGAAATAGAGAATAGCCTTAAAGCTTGTCGTGTTTACTAAATAAATTATTTATTGTAAGATAATATAAATAGTTAAACTATAAACTATATATATATAATTTAAATTTATTATTTGGCCTTCATATTGTACAAGTTTATAATAAATTTAGATCTTAAAAGCTATTGCACTATTGGTTTTTTGTAACAATATGACAAAGTATTATTATTATATGCCATGTTATAAACTAGCTACAGATAAAAGTTTTTCATTCCAAACCAGAGGAGAATGTTATAAATTTTTTTGTGTTGTGTCTAGTAGATCTTTTACAATTTATTATTTAATATATATATTATTTAACCAACGACGTTTCTTTTACGTTTTTTTATTACTTTAAACAGACTTTCTGACGACGTCATTTTTCTTTACAACTTT